AATATATTCTTTTTTCTACATGTGCTTAAACAGTGTTTTAATTCTGACGATTGTTTAAACAATATCGCTGTGTCTAGTTCTGTTTACATGTGACGTGATTGGCCAAAGCAACCTAAAAGATTGTGCATAGCGCTTGCTGATTGGTTGCATTGCTTTACCAGAGCCCTCTGTTGGCTACCATTAGAATGAGTCGATTTACGATTGTAACTCAGCATATCCAAATTACCATTTCTTCATGAATCCCGCTTTGCCATGACTGGTACACGCAATGGTAAATGACCGCTAGTAAATGCTTTACGATCGTATGTTAGTGAATCCGGCCCCTGAATTGCAAAACTTTTGATGTGGAGCACGGTTAACCTATAACTACCTCCCTCTTTACCCTCTTAGGTACTACACCTTTTAATAATGCCACATGACCTCTGATGCCTAGCACATTTATTTTGCTTTGTAATCATTGTAATCTAATGTCAAACTTTCAATAAACAGGTAGTAGTATATAGGCTGATATATATTAAAAGGATAACACACACACAGATATGTATGTGTATCTATTTATCTGTCTATCTATATATTTATATATCTATCTGTCTGTATACTTATATATATATATATATATATATATATATATATATATATATATATATATATATATATATATATATATAATCTGTGGAGGGGGAAATAGTCATATTCAGACTCGTAGTCAGAGTAGACGCCAGAGGAGGCGGAAAAGTTAATGTCATTGGGGCTAGTTCCTAAAGGGATGTCTCAGTGCCCCTAACAAAAATGTATGAAGCCCTAGAATATGTAAAGAAGATGAATGGTTCACCCTTAAGAGTACCCATCTCTATGGCTCCCTGAGGCCGTTCAGGTCTGATCTAAAGCCAGCATTTTATCCTTTCAGTGCGACCCTTACATCATAGAAAGTTGAAAGAAGAGGTTGGAGAAGAGAAGGAAAGGGAAAGGGGGAGACGAAGACCGTTCAACATTGGTTGGACCGTAAGCTGAGGCCCACGCTAGGGGAGGTCCCCATCACTAGACTCCTAAGCCCCGGCAGCAACGGGCATGGCATTGAGGGAGGGGGTGAGGAGGGACAGCCTTAATGCCCATACTAAGGATACACAATCTTCTTTATTGGTCATAGTAAACCTGAAATATGTGGGGAATAGAAACGGTATCCTCCTCAGGGATAATAATAATGTAATGCTTCTTACAAAACTCTTACCATTAGTAATGAAAAGGAAAGGCAGAGGCGAAAAGCCCATGCAAAAAATAGTTGAGGTGAGGGTTAAAGGTAGGGATGATCCCCTACACTAGGCCTCAGTTTCCATCTCTTAAATCCCCCTTCTTCATCCACCTAGGACGAGCGAAAGATTGGGGGGAACCTACATAAAAAGTAATAATATATGTACTCTGTATATCTACTCTCATGCTTGTTATTGAGTAGGGTGAAAATGGACAGCTGTTTTCTCGAAACTTACGAAAGGATTATGGGTTCAGTTCTCTTCTATTATAATCACAGGGCTCCATTTTGGGGGCCAAAAAATTGCCCAGGTGTGTTGGACACTCTTCGCGATTTCTGTCCGTTTCATTTCTGATGTTTGTGATGAACATATACGTTTTCTTTTTTAGCTTTAAAGTTTGTCATTTTAGCCCTTACTACAAGAAAAAATCAACATTTAAAACGTGGCTTTCCGACGTAACTTGGCAGAAGACAGAAATCAACTCTGCGAATAATACGCTGACAAATTTGCCATATATTTGGCAGATTCTTTTTTTCTACGATCTCTTTAAGGCAAAATATTTGTGATATTAAAAAGCGTGCAACTTTTATCGCTCTAGCTCAAACAAGGGTACTGGTGGGAAAAAAAACCTTGACGGTGTAAAATGGTTAATGGTTAATGGTTAAAATAAATGTGCTAGACATCTAAGATCATATAGCACTATAGGAAGGTATAGTAAATGGGGGTGTGAGGTGATAGTTGCTGTGTCTACTATTTAGAGTAGTGTTGAAAGGTTGAAGATGGGGGATAAGGTTATGGTGGTTTAGGAGAGGGAGTTAGATCAAGTGAAGGATATTTATGCGTCTGAGGAAGAACAGGTTGTCAAGGCAGAAGCTGTGGGATTCTGTAAGGACGTCTGATATGTTGGGAGGTCGGTGAAGGGAGGATAGGTGTGGAAAAGCAGAGGTACGTGCTGTATTAATGCGTGGACAGGACAAGAGAATGTGTGGAACTGAAAGAGGGACATTACATAGAGGACATAGGGGCGGGTCTCAGCGTGATGTTAGATAGGCGTGTTACCAATGCGTAAGCGTGCGAGGGCCGTCTCCCAACGTCTGTTTTTGTGAAATGGAGCTGACCAAGAGGAGATTGAAGGTTTTACTTATGTAATTTATTGTTGTGGAGTCTTAACTAAAAAGATTGCCATCGAGTATGACGGTGTAAAAAAGACAGAACCAGGTCCTGATTTGGCAGCAACAGCGTTGACAACACCA